GCTCAAATGCTGTACATGAGAGGTTAAGCTCCCCCTGGCGGTTTTACAACGGGACGCCGGATAGTTTCCGGCATGACGTCAAATGACGCGATTAACCGCGTGATACTGCACGATACCGCGTGATTCTGCGTGATTCCGCGACACACCCACTGGGGTATGCCACGAAATACCCCACCCATTTTGAATGGCTGCATCTGTAGAAAGACTAAGAGTAATGACTAAGGCTCTAAAAGTTAAATTCTTTTCCTCAGTGAAAAGAATGCTTTTATATATAGTTGGATTTGCACTAAAACAGAAATATTAAAATACACAAACACTTACAGAATTATCTCTTTATTCCAACAGTGTCTGCAACACAATGAAAAAAAATATAAAATTATAGATTTTTATTTTACAAGCAATTATGCAATATATTCAAACCAAGTTCTCCATTTACATTCACTGCTTGTGGACTGATCAACTATAATCTGCATTGCATTAAAAAAAAACTTGTCTTCATGATTATATATTATCTGTAAAAAAATACAAACAAAACCTTATATTCACTTCACAGTTTTGCCTTCTTAAAATAAGGAGAAAAGGCCAGCACTGCTGACAATATACAATATAGGATGCAGAAAAACAAATTACAAAAACATTAGGAATATACCCTCTCCTCTTTCTGATACAAGTGCCTCTGAAAAGTTCCAGTGGAAGTAAAATAATTCAGTCAACTGTGAAGCCAGAGATTTTAAACAGGAAGCCAGCCAGGGCTGCTAGTCCCAACTCATAGTCCTCGCCATAGTTAAATGGCCTAAGCATCGGTTGTATTCATGAATTAAAGAAAAAAATTCCTTCCCCAAGAAATGCACTTTGGTGGCTTCATCCTTCCTTGCTATCCCGGAAATTGTCCACTCCCAGAGTCAGGTCCTTAAAGGATGGCCTCTGAGCTGGATCATTGGTCCAACAATCCAGCATCATTTGATAAATCTGAAACAAATTTTTATTTTTCAGAAAAATACCTTCTGACAGAAGTATTATCACTGATACATTGAACTTCAGGCAGAATACATTCTTACCATACCATGCATACTGTAAAACAAACATGACATCAAGTTGCCCCAAACTGAAATCAGTGGCAACTGTATTTGAACGCTTATAACACATTAGTTTGATTAGTCTGCTTTGTGTCATGTTAAAGAAGATTAGAACAGCTAAACTCCTTCACAAAGTTGAAACTTGGCTACATCAGCCTAACTCAAATTAAAAAATGGAAAATGTCCACTTCCAATTTTTATATAAAAAAATCTAAAATGGCCAAAGAACCAATAGATTCAGCATTTACCAATATTCATACTGTAGGTGAATTCTACTCACTATTCTTATGTCTCACTGCAAAATGTTTTATACAGCAAACACAATAGTTTGTAAAATAAAATCAAGAACCTGAAAACAAAGATAATGCTCAATAACCAAACTAATTAATGTGTTTCAGTCACAAATTAAGTTATTGATCATTATTTATATACAGTACAGCTCTTTTAAGGTACAGTATATTCAATTCAATTTTCAAACTCTGGAAGTGCTATTAATGCAACTCTTCTTTTAGAAATTTTTATTTTGGTCTATAAATATAAGTACACACTTCATTCATGAATAAAATACATTATGAAGGTGATATTTTAAAGGCTCTTCTAAGTGTGCAGCAACTTATAGTTTGCAGTCTTAAAATAGTGTCATAGCACAAATCTACTTTTTGTATATAAGAGACAACTATGAAAAATTATGCATGTAGCTAAAAATATATAAAATCAATAAGACGCTACCTCCTTAGGGCATCCTTCTGGACAGGTCAATCTGTTGCCAGTTTTAAGGATCTCAATTAAGTGGTAGACAATCATCTGTCCCTGCTTGTCATTACCAATCATCCGCATAAACTCCTGTGGGCAGAACACAGATAAGTATTAACACTTAATTGAACATGATTTGGTACCAGCACTTGCAAATTAATACTCACAGAAAACCCACTGTATGTATAATCTGTTGTGTTTCAATCTTTAGATTTGAAATGCTGGGATATTGTAAAAGAACATTTGTGTACAGTTTACAGTTAAATCTGTCTTCATCCTGATATTTTTTATATAATGTAAAACAGTAACAGACTACAATTACAATTTACCCCAAAGAACACAACCAATATGCAAAATAATCTAAAATATGACATTGTACAACAAAATAAATGCCCTTTTTTACAGTGTCTTTATGGGCATAGAATCTCAAAGCACTGCACTATACAATAAAAATGGGACCACAAAAAACATAAATCACATTTGTTGAAATAAGACGAGGGAAACCTGTATTGCCTTAAATATGTACTCTAAATTTCACAATGACAAAAAACATTGTGAATTGAAATTTTTTATACCTGTAGAACTTCTACTGTGCACAAATTTTTTTTCTGTGGTTTTATTTTTCTGAAGGAATCACTATGATGAAGACAGACATACCGCTGGTGGACTCTTATTCTTGTCACTGTGTGTGAACAGTTCATATAACACCACTCCAAAGCTCCAGACATCTGATGCCACGGAGAACTTGCTCTCAGTCAGGGACTCGGGAGCGTACCTGTATCATTCAAAACAGTTTGAACTTACTCACAGTTCTTTACAGTTGTTTCATTTCATATATATGAAGCCTTTCAATATTAATTGTCAAAAATAAAAGGGTAAAGAAAAGACAGAAGTCTTACAATTGTTATATTCACTGCATTTTCAGTATCAATATTTTTTAAGGAAAAATTAATCTGAAGGTACACATCCTTTTGACACTATTTTAAACTTTCAACAAGAGCAAGGAACATCCAACTATTAAATTCCTGTTCCTAATTTGGAATAAAACACTAGCACAATCTTAAAATCTATACTATACTGCATATTGATTGAAATCTTATAATTATGACTTAGAATTTGACTTCAATACTTATTATTCATTATAAATCAGTTTTAAAATGAGTGTAATTCTCTGTGTTTTAGGAGAAACAAAAAATAAAAATATTACCAGAAAATAGGACTTTCTCCTGGTTCCTTGACTTTGTAATACTCTTTGTCCTGTGGCAGAACCTTTGTCAAACCAAAATCTCCAATTTTCACTCTGTTCTCACTCTCAACAAGGATATTTCTGGTAGCCAGGTCTCTGTGGATGTACCTCTTAGTTGCAAGGTAATCCATCCCCTGAAGAGTAGGAAGCACATATTGTCACGCACAGCTCTTTTAACCTCTATTAGACCTGTACATTACACCCAGGCTACTGTATGCAATAAAGCCTTCAAAGGCAATAACACAGTCGTGATTTAAAGATCTTTTTCAAATCTTATATTGTTCTACAAGTTTCACCAAGTTACTTAAGCAAGAATGGTCTTGCAATTTACAAGGAGAAACATGAAAATTATCATTACTTTATTACTGAATTTCACTTTTGTGTCAAAAGAAAGCTTCAGCATTTTTATTTAATCACTTTCCAGTCAATATTAAAGAAAGCCATTTGAATTGATGTGATATATAGAGCCTTATTTTTTAAATACTTAGAGCAGGATACTGCAATGGTCCAGAAGGTGGTTTAAAACAAAATCGACACTATGTACCTTGCATATTTGAGATGCATAATGAAGCAACTTCTTATGGTCAATCCTTTCCTTATTTTTGATTAAGTAGTCTCGTAAGCTCCCAAAGGGGAGATACTCCATGATGAGCCGCAGGTTTCTTCGGCCTTTAGTGAAAAAGAGGAAACAAACAAAATGAATGGAAGTAATTCCTAATTCAAAAATTTCTGAGCTCTGGCTGTGAAGAACAATATGATGATCAAGATGATTGCTTCTGAACACAGGTAAGCTAGGAGATGCCAAAAGCAGTCCTGTTTTCTCAGATGTATTTTTTTCCAGACACCCTGTAGTAGTTTAGAGGACAACCGGTTAGGAGCAGCTTCTTTAAAGTGGATGGACTGCTGCTAGAATTAAGCTTTCCTGACATAGGGGAGGGTGTGCCATTGTAAACAAGGCCTTCTCTTTGCCCACCTACCGGCACTGTAGCACACTCCCTTGTACTTGACAATGTTGTCATGCTGAAGTGACTTGAGGATCTCAATCTCGCGCTCAAAGTCGCGCAGGTGCTCAGCGGTACTGTGCTGTAGCTTCTTCACAGCCACCACCTCCCCAGTGTTGTCCTGCAGAGGGTCATAGCGGCACATCTCCACACTGCCAAAATTGCCCTGAGCGGAGAGAGAACATTCACTTCAAACACACAGGAATCTCCAGCTCCACCATGTACTCCATTCCACCACTTCTTACACTGCTCTTACTTTAAAGCAAACTCAATTGCTACCACATATGCTTTAGTATCACCCAGGTCAAATAAAAATCTTTCAAAACCACCCAATTACATGAAAAACAGTTTTAATGGTGACTTTATTTACCTTGCCAAGTTGCTGTAGAAAAATCAAGTGCCTCTCTTCAAATTGAGCAGGTTCTTGGTTTTCAAAAGCACCGCCATACCCAAATCCACCAGATCGATTTGGCAACATGTCACTTTCAAGCAGCAACTCATAGTCTAAGTAGACAAAAGCAAAAAAAAATCATTTTTAGAAACATTTCTGAAAATGTTTCTTATACTTGCTATACGCCATTCATTTTGTTCACCAGTTGGTAATGCTGTAGTGTCTTATTTTCTCAGTTGCTATATGAAAAGTGATATGGACATTTCCTATTTGTGAAAGTTATTAATATTTATATTTAAAAATCTGTTAAAAACAGGTTACCTGTTCTGTCTGTAATCAAAATGATTATCTTTCGGCTTTTACATGAACATGATTACTGTAAGTGCTGTAGCCCTACTATAAGCAGCCCGAGAAAACTCAAGAAAACCATGAAATATACTCTGTATCAACAGCTCTCTGAACTCTGGCTTTACCGGCAGCACCTGGCCTGTTTCACACTGCTGCTGTGCCAGACGACACCAGCCATAGAGTAATCCAGTAAGCCCACTCCAGCCTTCAAGTGGAATAGTCCACTAGTGGCACAGCCTGGACTGGAAGGTGGTCATACTCAGGCTTCCACACTTATCCTAATTTCAGAGCTGGGACACAGGGAAGCATCGGACTGTGCTCTGTCAACGGACCCCTGAGCGTTCCTCTTCACAGCGGAAGGATGCGACTACCTGGAGTGAAGAGGCTGTTGAGATCCCTGATGATGGCTCGGAAAGATGGCCTATAAGCAGGCTCATAATCCATGCAGTTATTGATAAGGTTGGCCAGTTCTGTCCATTTTGGAGCAGGCAGCTGATGGTGATCTTCATAGAACAGATACTTCTAAAGCGACAGATACATGACAAAAGGCTAGTTAAAATATGGCAGTTTAAACAAACTTGTAGTTGTTCTAAATATTGTGAAGAATCCGTCACACTGTACTGCCCTTGTCCAAACGACACTGGGAAAAATTGTGGATAGAAGAATGGAAAGTAGACAAAGTAAAACCAAAAGGGAATGTGTAAGGTCCCTATACGGCACTCACTTTAGTTGAGTCCAAGGTGCTGAGGGGTTTATCGCCACCACTGCATATCTCCCACAGTGTTGTGCCAAAACTCCACTTGTCTGTGGCCAGGCTGAGGTTCTTTGGATCTTCAATACATTCTGGAGGCACCCATGGGATCCTTTCAATGAGAACTGAAAAACAAAGCAGTAAAGTTTTTTTTGTGAAAAGAATACTAAAGTATTTTAGTAAATAAAAACTCTCGTCTTTAAACACCGCTAGTCACCATTGAATAATTTTAATGTGCAATGGTCCAGATGTAACCTCTATCAGAAGTGTTTGAAGATAGCAAAAGATCATTAAATAATGCATAGGAGAAAACCAAAATCTTTTGCCAACTCACAGAGCCAATAGGGGACCACTGAAAAGACCTAATCTGCAGATACTGTATGTTCAGGTTACATTTCCATTTTGTATTTAATTGTGGTGACCCCATAAAGACAGAACTTTGTAGGATCCATCCCTATTTATTGGCTAAATAAAATCAACAACTGGGATACACTGCTCAATTTAATCAAATTTGAAATCCTTCAAAATGGCTAGGAAACACACTCTACTACTCTGTCTAAATTGTAGGTAGTAATAAAACCTTAACATTCCCATAAATCATTCATGAGAAATGCAATATTTATGGCTGAAATGAAAAAGGCTCGCTTACCTTCTTTTGGGAGCACGGTGATGCTCACTCCTGGATCACTGAGCTTTATGAAGGGAGGATTGCCATTTTTTCTATCCTCTTCCCGGATGAGTAATAGGTTTTTGGCACATACATTTCCATGGACAAGGCTTTTGTCTTCCTATATAAGGGGAAGAAAAGGAAATCAAGGAAACCAATTACTTATTAATTACTTATTAAGAGTATGTCATACAGACTTCTTTGACATTTGTAAGGCAGTGCTATTGAAACAAAGTTATTTTATATTTTATGAAAGCCATTATCAGGTTTTAAAAAAGAAAAAATAATTAAGGGACATCTTGGTGTACAAATGTATACAGAATAACACAAAATTCAATACTTTAGATACAGTACATGTCTTTTTTGTTGTGCAATTAATGTGGGCCAAATTTCAACCTTAATGGCAGGCTGATGACCACTGTGACTTCTTGCCAAGGCCAAGAGAATTATGTGCCACCACATTAAACAATCGCCACTTTTTAAACTCAGAGCATCTTTAATCACTAAGAGATCATAGTGAAACAGCTTAAAAACCTAATCACTTTAATAAAAATTGCAGTGTGCTCTGGAAAGAATTCAAAGTCTGAAAGATTTATGGACTTTGAAACAGACATCAAAGTGGACGTCAGAATACAGGTCTGTAACTGAGCAGCATATGGGAGGTGATAGCTTTTTTATGGTGGCTTTTAATGCATATTAAAAAGAAGATCTGATCACCCCGATGACCATTTTATTTGTTTTCAATTTAACAACATCCAATTTTATCCGGTGTTTCGCTGTGCCAATTTTCATTAAAACCTCTGAAGTTTTTTCAGGAAATCAAGAAAAATAGGTTTGATGATTGTCTTGCACCACACCTCCACCCAATACAGCATATACCAGACTTTCAAAGCTTTGTGTGCTTGAGAAAAACTTAACTGTAATGTTCTAAAAAGTTAATGTAAAAGTTAAAAGACAATAATATACCAACAGAAATCACTTTTCTCTTATAGGAACATTTGAATGGGGGAAAAGTGAATGCAGCAAAGTACTTTACTGATAACTCTATAACAGTATATACATATTATAAAAAATGATCCTCCTGGATTTTGGCCTTTTAAGCAGGAGGTATCAGAAACCTTTTGATTTTTCACTCACTAATAGTTTTACCCTGCTGATGATGTGGTGTTGCAACTGTAATCCTGCTCAGCAGGACTGGAACCACAGGTTCAGATATTTGGTGTCTGTGCTTGGCAGAGGAGCCAATGGTGCTCCATAAAGCTACATACAGTATGTTAGATTATGAAGAAAGGCTTCTAAGTCAGAAACCCTCCCAAAAGGTACAGTGCTAAAGTAATTTTAAGGTACTTAGCAACAATTTAAAACATGATATACTTCATTAAACGCCCCTTCCCAAACACATTCAATTAAAATGTGCAGAAATTCCCTCATGAGGAAAAACCAAAAATAACCAGATAGATTACTATATAATTCCTACAAGTTCAATACAAATGAAATGGGACCAAACACTCTGATACCCGTGATACTTGTTACATTGATATAGTTATGAATCCTTACCAAGAAATGCATAGCCCAAGCAAGTTGCTTCGCTACCTCGAGCTTCCAAATGATATTCACAGAGTTTTTGTTCTTCTTCAGGTAGGTGTCCAACGACCCAAACTTAACATATTCCTGAACCATAATGTCTGTAAAAGAAACATAAATTTTAGAAACTGACAGGTTCAGATTTGGCCGGGGACAATGGTACTGTCCAATTATTCTGAGAGAGGGACATTGAAGATGTTTAGTTAGATATCAGACAGAGCTAGGCTTTTGTTTTTGTGATTTTCTCTACAGTACAAAAAGAACTGAAAGTGCCTTACAGAAGTGTTTGTATCTCTTTCACTCTGCCTACCAGGGATACTACAATGGTTAAAAATACCAAAGTGAATCTGGAAGCCTGTTTGCAAAATAAAGAAAAATTTGCAAATAATAATATGGTTATTATTTGCAACAATATGGTTTCAACCAAATGATTTAATCATATTTTGGGTCTTATTTAAAAAAAATAACTTTCAAATAAAAAAGCACTTAAACATTTAAAAGAGAAATAAGATAATTGAGATAATTTTCCATCCTTTATACTAGAGCTATGAAGCAGATTTTTTTATTATATACTGTATATAAAATTGTGGCTCCTTGTGTCATACAGTGGATGTGAGATTAACATAAAATAGTGCAAATAAGATAAGATAAGATCACTTTATTAGCCATATACAATTTCTTGCATTAGGAACTTGTCTTTTCGCATACCCCAGCTTGCTCTCCATGAGACAAAGACTCATGGACCCAACAGAATAGGATTCCTCTGCCAGCTGCGGGATTTGAACCGGCAACCTTCCAAGCCACAGGCACAGATCCTTAGCCACAGAGCCACCGCTCCGGCCATAAAATGTTCATCCTATTGTATTTGAAATCTGAAGGTAGTTCAATAAGGAAGCATATAAATTGCATCACTACTAGAATTTGCTGCTGCTGCTGCTGCTGCTACTGCTACTACTACTACTACTACTACTGAAGAAAGATATAAGATGTGAAAGGGGGTTAACTGATTTCTTTCTGCACAAAGACTTCTTGTAACACAGTAATGGGGGGCCCCCTATGTTTGGACATTCCTAAGACCTTGAACACTTTCAATGGTCAGTTTTATCTTTCCTTAGTTGGGGGGGGTATTTATCTTGCACTTGGAATTTCATATCAATTAACTCCCATCCCACCATAACTCAAAGGCGCTAAAACATGGAATGTCTTGTGTTACACGAAGTCTTTGTGCAGAAAGAAATCAGTTAACACCTTTTCACATCTTATATCTTTCTTCAGCAGTGTAGTAGTTATTATTATTAGTAAATTCTAGTAGTGATGCAATTTATACACTTCCTTATTGACATCCTACCTTCAGATTTCAAATACAATAGGATAAACAGAACAAGGCCTTGTGGACAGTGACTGTCCTGGTCAAATATTTGACCTGTGTGTATCACAGTCCCCTTCAATGAACACAATCTCAGGGGTGTCCTATGGGAGTGTTCCTATTGTCTGAGAACAGATCTAGTTGATCAATACTCCCTCGCTCTCTAAGACGTCATTTGTATGATTTGTCTCTTGCAAAGCACACTGGTATTGCAGTGGCTTCCTGTTCTGTTCACAAGCTTTTAATATGCACGATTCTGAAATGCAAAGGACTGAATTACATCCTGCCTACACGCAGTCAGCTAAAAGGAATGAGAATAATGCACATCAAGAATGCCCACATGGGCTCCGTTTCACTCAGACCAGGCATATTACAGTGTAGGAAGACTTCTGAACAAAGCAATGGAGTGACAATGCAGACGTAATAAGTTTCAGTCAGATGCACTTGTTGGAATTAAAATGTAGTTTCTTGCAGCAAAAGTCAATGCAGAGTTGTTAGATAAAAGATAAAATATAGGCTAGTGATTTTCAGTTTATGACAGGGTCATTCAAAATTTTATTTTCAATTGCAAAATTCAGCCCAGCAGGGGTTATATTGCACTTACACTTTACACCTACTATAGGTAATATAGAATTGTAGTATTCCTTATTGTAGATATGTAGATTGTAGAATGTGGAATTCCTGTATTCTTTGAGGCTTTAACCAAAACTGGAGATCCTCTTGTGCATGGGTTCCCAGCCCTGGTCCAGAGGGACTGCCATGTCTGCTGGTTTTAGTTTTCAGTGGGGTCTTTAATCATGTAATTGGTCTCAATTTGATTAAACTCTTCTTCGGCAATCATTGGTTTAAAAAATACACTGAAAACTATACTATTTTTAACAACTTCAGCATATAACTTTGTTCTTTAACTTTCTAATTAAGAACGAGCTCTCTTATTTATAACAAAATGCTTATAAAAGGAAATTATTTTATGATGAATAGAAAAAGAGGAAAGATAATGTATTTCTCACACTCAACTGGATTCATTTTAGCTAATACACCTAAACAAGGAGTGTTCTGAAACTGAGGAGTTGGCATAGGGGTGATACCAATATAAAACCCATAAAACAGTTTCAGAACCAAAACTAATTTTAAAAAGACACCTGAAATAGAAAGATGAAACCAATTTGCCTAAAATCATAAAACTAGCAGTCTCCCAGGACCAGAGTTGAGAACAGTTGCTCTATAGTTGAATATCTCAGGGCACAAAAAGTTTCCTTAGAAACTTATTTTTTTTCTCAAATGCAAACCTGTTTGTAAAGGCTAGCTTTAACTTAATGAAGGCGATTATCTGGTCTGGTTAACAAACATAAAAAACATAAGTAACTCAAAGAATGTAACATTACACCATCATTGTAGGGATTGTAGTTGAACCACTGTATCTGAGAATGAAGAAATTTGGCGTCTGTTGTTATTGACCTAAGTCAACCTGTGGTTTGCCATACACTGTTCTGTTATACAACAGCTACCTGTGGTATTGAGATCTGCGAGAGTTCTCGCTATGATATAAGCAAGTGAGTCATCTAGAGATGTGACATAGCATACTTTATAACAGCACTGTATGTGATGTGACTTACACAGTCTGTGCTGATGATAAGTAATATATCCATTATATTAAATTGAATTTAGCATAAAACCTGTCTGACTCATTATCAATGTTCTTTCTTATCACAAAAAGTAATTTATTTCGTTTTTTTCCACTTAAACTGAAACATTTAAAATTAAATTAAATAAATTTAAAAACATTTTTTTTCTTCTATCATTGCCTAATTGGAAATCTCCAATTATGTGACTACTTGGTTTGCCACCAAACCACCAGAATATTTACAACTGAGTTGAAAACACATATATTCTTGTTTTTTGTTTCACATCTGTGCCAAAAACAATACTAAGGCATCAGGTGTACTGCAAATTCACACAGACCACAAGAGACACTGCTGCACAGCCAAGGGTTACATTGCAAAAAACATTTCCCATTACGAAAGAAAATGCCAAAACCTCCCATTCATATCAAAGGTCATCTCATGGTAGAATGCCTTGGATTAAGAAGTAATGTATGTTGTAACAGTTAATCCTTAAAAGTTTAGCTCTTAGAAATAAAATGTGTTGCAGGTCAAATGTGTACAGAAAGACTGTATTGTAGTAACAGGTTCAAGATGTCAAGATTGGTCAGATAGAATGCAAAGACTTACTCTCTTCACCACACACACAGACTCCGTAATTCAACACCAGGTGCTTGTGGGAGAGCTGGCTCATCATGCTGGCAGCTTCAAAGAAAGACTGGAAGAGACAAATATTGTCAGACACATTCACTCTTAATTTGTACAGAAAAATCATTCTCACTGAGTCAGTGATTCAGAAAGTGTGGTTAATGGCAATTCAACTGAAAAAGTGGTTGACACACCTGAGAAGTATAGCATGTAGAAAGATAAATTAAGTTTTATACATAAAATAATGGAAATTAAACATCTGTGTTTAATAAAGAAAATATAATAAATTTTCAAATCCCTTACCAGTGACATACCTGTACCTAATGGCTCTAGAACACAAACCTAAATAATACTGTCAACTTGACTTATCTAATGCCAAATTAAGCTGCAAGAAAATATAATCTGCTCATTTTAGTAGAATGGTTTTCACAAACCTGCAGTCTCTCACAAATAATACT